CGGGGCTTTTAAACGACTTCTGAAAATAAGTCAATATTCAGGACACTGTTAATCTCGCAATCATTGACGAGCTCTAACGAGCCAATCAGCAAATTCATAATTAAAGGATATCTTATCATTCGCGCGCTTTTGAGGACGAAATTACTTTATACAAATATTATTTTATTTAAAAAAGATTTTAAAAAATTTTATTATTTTACATTAACTTATATTATTTGACTTTCCAATACTGATATGCATAATTAAATATCGCGTATAAGTAAAATATATAAATATGATCTATAAGTGAAATAGCAATGTACTAAAATAATTTAGAAACATTTTTTTATTGTGCTCGCTGTTTATTTTATATTTTTTCTTAATGATATAAAATAAATATGTGACGATATTTTTGAACGGTACTCTTGATATTTTAAATTATGCCGTAGCTTTAATTAATTAGAGCAAATGATAAGTAAATAAAAATTAATTTTCAGTAGCAACTAAATACACGAATAAAAATTTGCATACATAAAGAGAATGTTTAAAAATATAAGTCGATATTTATTTTTCTACTTTTTATACGCGAACTATTATTTGGGTATACAAACACAAATTTATATTTTTTAACGTAAATATTTTGAATTGTTTTTATTGTTAGTATCATACAACATAAGTTCTGCCTTTATTGATCTCCAGTAGCCATTACCAGAAATCAGCACAATTCGAGATAGAGGCGAGCTAGATGTCATAATAATTGAAGTGCTGCGACTGTTTGTCGGACCATTCGCCGACTGTCATCACTAAGATAGTGTCGCGTCGTATCGAATAGAGGTTAAATCCTAGAGTAATCAAGATCCTGGCGTTAACATGAAATAAGAGAATTCTCACATTGTAGTCATTGTGATAGCAAGAACATAAATTTTATTTGCAGCTAAAATACTAGGTTCAATCAAATTAATTATTAAGCAATGATTAATTAATGTTAAAAAATTTCAGGAAGATTAAAACAAATGAAAACTTTTCGTGGAAATTTTTGCAATTTTTTTTAAGAAGAAATCTACCTCCCAAAAAATCGTTTCTCACTTTGACACAAAACAGCTGATTCTTACAGCATAAAAATATGCCGTAACGCGTCATCGATAACGAGACAAGTAGACGCGTATCAGGGTCGACGAAATGTTCGGAATGGAGAATAGAATCGAGATTAAGATTCTTCACTTTATTTGGGTGACGTTGAATTGATTGTTTATGCGTTAAATTGCGGGCTTCGACGAAGCGCTAACAGCTACGCGAAGACTATATTCCGCATCGATTGCCTTCTTTACAGGTCGCGTGTTTCCTTTTCGGCGACTTTTTATTTCCCCGGTGACATATTTCGATATTTTTCATTTCGCGACGACTTCGTTGTTTGCCACACGGAATGGGCGATCCTGCGAGGGCAAGAATTTGTACCCGGGGTTATCCAGGGAACTTGACGCTCCTCGATAACTGTTTTCGATTTCTTTGTACGTACCGAGGTTACTTTTCTATTTATAACGCGCGACATACACCAAAGAATGACGTATGTTCAAAGCATAGTTCGTATAGAATGCAATTTTGTAGAATATTCACGAAAGTAACGAAATTCGAATTTAATGATATTGCAATCGATATAAAGAGATTATAATTGTAATAATTAAAACGATATAATATCAATTTTAAACCGAATTATTATATAATTGATGCAGTAATTATTAGAAAAATTAGAACTATGAATTATCTTGAAATAATATTCTCTCATTATATATTATATATTAAAAATTATATATAAATATATTGCATAATTATATTATATATAGAATATATGTATATGTTCCCTTTCATTCACATACTCTTTGTTTACACAGGAAAAATGATAGGAATAATTAAAAAATAAATTGGGAGGATAATAATTGAGAAAAATGTCCAGATGTAATCATATATAAATATAATACTCTTAATTGTTCTCATTATTTCCCCGTTTAAACAAATAGATATAAAAGGAAGAGAAAAGTATACGAATTTAATCGATATATAAATATTGATGTGCAATTGCACGCCGATTAAATTTTCCGTTTGAGAGTCAGTCTTCAGAAAACAGTCTTGAAAGTAAGTTTTTTTAACAGCGCCCTTATGTCTAGTGACAGTACACTGGCATGGATTTGCATTTCTTCCGCATTGCGTTTGTCGTGCGGTACTTTAAATGCTTCGCGAAACGAGTTCTCTCTGTGCACACTGAGAGCTCATATGTATTACTTCCAAGTCAAGTAGATTTGAACGAGACTCGGATGCAGCAGAGGGTTAAACGCAACAGTTACGTTTATCTACGCTGCGCCGTCTGGCGCCGACTAAGTCCTATAGGATGATATCTAGAACTCTCTCCCTCTCTCTCTGTCTCGTTCTTGCGGTGCACAGCAATCGCATAAAGTCGGTCGAACACGAGGGTCCGTTATGTTGCATGTGCACGAGACGGCGCGTAACGAGAGGATCGATGCAGCAGACGATGCACTTTTTGTATGTAAGCGTCATATTCTCCTCTTGGTATTTATCTCCCTAGCTTCTTTACAGCCACTTCCATCGGTATTGCATGATACGCAAAGATTGCAAAATCGATGATCTTTATGTTCCTCCTCGAGTATATCTTGAATATGCGATATATGTAAAGATATACGAAATGTATCCGTGCGAAGAAATATAGGCCAATTTTTTATTTATCGGAGAGAAATTTTTCTTTGATGGGACGGTAATATAATTACGCAATATTTTCAAACGTTGATTCGGCTTAAAGAAGTAATTTTGTTTTGAAATAACGCGAAGAGAATTCGAGACTTGAAAATTGAGATGGTTTTTAAATTAAATGAATCTCTTGATGAATTTAGGAGCGAAGCGAACAGCTGAGAAAATATACATACGAATATATAAACATTATGATCATCACACTATTTGCAAATCGCTATGCTTGTAATTTTTTGAAACTAGATGTCAAAATGGCCACAATTAGTTTTTGTATGGATTTCTGTTCGCATATACACATATGTGAATAGCTTGTTAAACGGAACTCTTCCGGGCCTTGTTTATTAACAAATAAATTTTTTTCTATCGTAAATAATCTAAAAGTATGCAGATATACTCGTAGTTTTTGGCACCAAACACAGGGAAGACTGTCATAAATTGTTAAACGAGTATTTAGGCGTCTATGCAGAAATATCTTGATAAAATGATTTTTCCGGGTCTTGTTTCTTCATGAATAATTTGTTTTCTATCATAAGAGGTCTCAAGACTTACAAATAAGCGTCGAAATAAAATTATACTAAATATATATCTATCTTTTTTTTCTCCAAATAAATAAAAGACAAACACGTATTTAAGTCTCGCTTAAAACCAAAATAACGTTGATGCGATCAGAGCTAATTCATGTATCAGTGATGTTACATAATTGGTTAGAGAAATTATGTTCCGCATTATAGTTGACAAAACATCAAGTAATGCACTCGATGTATTGACCTATTTACGTGGATTGAAACATGACCGGTTAAAATCTATGTGTGTAATTTTGTTGATACCTCGGATTATTAATAGCTTCAAAGAGCGGCTATTGCATGATACAATTTTATTAGCTCGCCTACATTTTGCAAAATTAGTCGGTTTTTCTATTTCTTTATATATTATGTTATTCGATTTTATTAAGGGAATCCTGACCATGACTGTTTTACCGATTTTGAGTTCAAGGGCTTTTCTTTTTATTGGCTATACAGATTGAAAAATTCTTCTCCACAATTAAAGTACTGAAAATAATGAACGAGGAGCGTTGTAATTATGTATAAAAAATCAATAAAAGTTAACAAATTACAGGTTTTTTATCGGCCTCTTGCATCAGCTCATAACAATACTTATTTAATACAAAAGTTCTGCAGTTTATTTCTGCACAAAATATGGCGCTCCCAATAGAGATGACATGAAAGAATAATACAAAAGTAATAAAAATGAGATTAAATCTGTATGTTCAGTAAAAAGTGAACCTAACCTAACTTAAAGTCGGTAAAACAGAACAACGCCAGTATTCCCTTAATCATATAAAATTGTGTTATTATAATAAATAATATATTTAATCTAATTAATTGATGCATCTAAATAAATTGAATTCTTCTACAATGTTTGACAAAAATAACCAATTGTTTAATGGTCGATTTCGAATAATTTTAATGAATTAAAAGAATAAAAAAATTGTGTTATATTATGTTGTAATCGAAACGTATTGAAACTGTCGAAAAATTTCCCGATTGTTTTGTTTGATCAAATAATCATCGCCATTAAGCTCGCGTGTGCGATCCACCACAATTCTGCCGTGATAGAGTTATCAGATGATCGAGTTAGGTTCATTCGTGTAACTTTGTTAATATGAGAGAACGAGAGCCGCTGCTCTCTCGCTTACTGTTACCGACCGTAACTATGTGGGCAACGAGCAATATCTAGCCCATGATTGACACCGCTGATTAAAATCCAATTGAGAACTATTAATGAAGCCTCCGAAGTGACAAACATTGCACAAACGTGCGCGAATGTCGATACAAAGGTAGACAAAACGGAAACCGGAATACAATACACTTCTTTCGCGGGTGAAATATCGCGGACACTGAAATAGAGGAATCGATTTAGCAAAAATTAATTCTATTGCTGTCGTATACATAAAAATGAGACTCGTGAAATTTAAATTTAATTCTCGACGATGCGCTGTGGATTAAGAAACTTTAGAGAAATATTTCATCGACTGATTTATGTGAAATAAAATTGTACATCATTCTTGCGACATAAAAAAGAATGCGGGTGTATTTTTTTTTGTTTCTCAGAGAGACTGTCCAAGAGTTAGCGATACTCGAAGAAACTGTGAAGGTCTTAAAATGGATCTGAGCTGCGACGTTGCGTTATGAAGTAGTCGAAAATAACTTTAATAAATGGTGGCATCTCATGAGGCGCCTCTCACCGGGATCTGTGTGTTTCAGGTGGAAGAATCGACCACGCTCACCATTACAACAACGCTTATCGCGCCCTGGATGAGACCCTGGCGTTGGAGGAAGCTGTCCAGGCGGTTATGAAGGAGGTCGATCTCACGGAAACGCTTCTCGTGGTAACGGCGGATCACTCACACGTATTAACCCTCGGTGGACTGGCGACACATCGCGGGAATCCCATATTCGGTGAGCCAACCTATATATATATCTGTGTCTTTAGTGCTTTAGAGTTATATCCGGCTGGAAATAAATGGGACACTTCCGATTCTCCGGGTAGATGTACCGTGATATGCTAATAAACACAAACGACCAGACAATAAAACACCTTTTCGTTTAAATGAAAGCTTTAGGTATGTACGTAAATTTTCGGACCATGCGACTCGAGTATATAAAAATAATACTACTTAAAATTAGGAGACAGGAACGAGAAATGACTTTTTGATCGAATAATTATTAAATATATATATATATATATATATATATATATATATATATGTGATAATTACAAATCAATAATTATATTCTCATTGACAGATAATGAATTATTTTTATATACCTATATAAAATTCATTGAAATGGAACGGATTATATATATATTATTGATATATCTATTCAATTCCATTTTCTAAAAATAAATTGCATTACATACAGTTATTGATTCCGTAAATAGAAATGTTGAAGTACGAGATCGGCGTACTTTATTCTTAAATTAAACATGGAAAATATCTCGACTTTTCATAACTTCGCTCATCTCAACATCTGTTTCCTCCGTTCGGAATTTTAATCATGCACACGTCGGCGCGAATATAATATGCGCGTATGTATATGTGTTTGCGTGTGTTAATAAACTCAGTCTCGACGATCGATTGCAACTGCCGTAATTCTCTTCGCCGTCGGGAGAAAAAAGCATCCTTTTCATTGTTGCACGGTTCCTGGCCTTTCAATATCCGGAAAGGATGCGCCGACAACCGACTTTTGTGCCTCGAAAAGCAGTCTTCTCAGAAAAACATTATTGGATCACACGCTTAGATTAACCGAATGAGTTGCTAGTAGCTATATATATATTTGCTACTTTATGCGCGGAATAATTTAATACGGTTTTCGCTTTCTTTCATTAGCGAATAGCGAGCTTAAGATAAAACCACGGTGCTTTCCCAATCAGATTCGCGTTCGCCAAATCTCTGGCAATTTGATTTAAAAAATTGCGAAATCACGGTAAAAATTACACTCTTCTCGGTGGAATTGAGAAAATAGGTCAGGAATAAACAGGAAACAAATGAAGTTGTAATTTCAGCGGTGAAATTTATCCGAATAAAATTTTTGACATTTCAAAATTAGCGTAATTTGGATTTTTTTTTCATGTAAAAAATGTTTCTTCGCTCCCTCGTTTGCTGTCTAAAGTTAAAAAAATTGAACAGCTTAAGCATTTTAAACTTCCGCCGACCATTTTCAAGATACTATATTCGATACAAATTTTAACATAAAAAAATAGCTCGCGCATCCAGTTTAAACAACTAAGCGGACGATTTATCCAGGTTTGAGTTTTGACAGATCATACCGTACTTATCGGCTGCGATCGATTTTTGGTAAAATGCCCCGCGGACACGGCGGCAAATATTTTGCAAAAACAAGCGAGTACTTTGTACGCGGACAATATTTTCGCTGTAATGCAATATTTGTATTACACTCGTGACATATTTTTCGACAAACTTGCCATTTGTCGGGCAAACGAGTCGAAACGAGAACGTCGTGTATAAACCGCGCTTTATAGAGCGACTCCCACGTGTCTCCGGGGATAGATAGATAAAAAGAGAGAGAGAGAAACCTCTCTCATCCCTTTTTTCGATCTCTCGTTTACGCCACTTTTCCGGATTCGTTTATCCGTGAAGAGAAGCCGAGCGGTCCACTGATCCGCGACGACCGTCCAATTGTCGGCAATCAAAAGTGGACTCTTTGCCCGATCGCGCCCGACTGTTTTCGCTAAAAGGTAAAAGTTTAACGCGTTGTTCCTCTCTCCGAAGGTACATCGGTGCAGATGTTGACTCGAGATTCGCCAGCCGGCGTCGACGATCCAATACTCGATGACGCGCTGTTTTATATGGGGACGCAAAGTCGTCTTCTCCATCAAGTGAAGGAGAAGAGGGTCGGTCCTTTCTTCCGACAGGACAGTTCTAGATTCAATAAGATCCAATCTACTTGGACAACTTCGTGAGCGCGCCCGCTCGACTGTTCGCTCGGTCGCGGTTAAATTGAATCGTCGGGAAACGTAAAGGATGGCTTTTCGCCCATACATGGACTCGCAAAAAGCCGGCTCGTTTCGTTTGTCCGATAGCAGTCGATCGAAAAAATTACTTGAAACAGAGGCGAATTCGGGGAAGAGAGAGAGAGAGGGCAGATGGGGATGCTGAAAGTTTTGACTGGCTCGATTTTCCGATGATCTTGAATTTTATCGCTCGTTTTGTACCTCGTTTTCGCGGAATTGTTGGACCATCTTGGCCCTCCATTGAGATATTAATCCGTTTACGTCGCTCGACGGTTTATGCGTTTGCAAATTGTACATTTTAAAGCGCAAAATTGTATTGTTATTTACGCAATGCAATGTATGAAAGATATATTTCTATTTCGCTTTTCTGCTCTATTTTTTTTTTAAGTGAGAGAAAACACCGTACTTTATTTCAGACAGAAACTGGCAAAATCCAGCAGCATGGTTTTTGAGAGAATTAAAATTAATATTTCAATTTCTTTTTCATTTACGTATTTATAAAAGAATTTTTAAATAAAACTTCGCTGCTTTTAGAAATAGAAGGAAGAATGTAACCAAAGCTCTGTGAAAAATTTTCATTAGTTTTAATTTTTGTATCTCGATTTTTTTATTACTTTGTTACTTTGTTGATTTTTTTCAACCGTTATTAATAACCCTTAAACTAATTAAAGGGTTATTATTCTTTAATCACGTAATTAAACATAAATATATGTAACGATTTAAAAAATGCATGGCTTACGATAAAAGTTGCTTTTTGTATAGTAAATAATTTTCAGAAATAGGGTGACATATTTGTTTCTACAATGAATGCAATAATTCTATAATTTTTAAATCAGTTCCATTGACACTGCAAGTTTGCGGACATTTCCCCAATAGATCTCTGATAATTTACTCGAATTACTCGAGCGGAAGATATTCAGTAATGCAATCCCTCATTATGATTATATTCAATAACATTTCGCATGATTTAATAGAAATTCATATATACGCTTGATAGTAGATATAATTCAAGCGAGATAGCTTTTGTTAATTAAACACAAATCAAAGCTGCGACTTGGCGATTGTACGTAATCGATTAGAATAGAATGAAAACTAGCTGAAAAGAGATTTCCAAGGACATTTTGCACATGTATAACTGATAAGTTCCACGATTAATTAATTGATTGAATTATAATGGTCTGTTTGTAAACCGGAAAAGGATACCCTTTGAAAATATTGATCAAAAACATCTAGTTTAGAAAGCTCTGCTAATTTATATATACAAACTTCTCACGTTTTTATCTTTATTACAATGTAACATGAAACACACTCGAATATATAAGGACTTGAGCACGCGAACATGTGTATGTCAACATAGCGTTTAATATTTTTTTTTAAACTTTAATAATTTATTTTTATCGCGAAGAAAATCGTATACGATCGGCTAATCGAGATAGCATCGATCCACTTTATTCGGGGAGTAACTTTTTTTCGCCTCCGTATACAGATAGACGATAGATCTCTGGCGAAAAGGTTCGCATCCGGCATTTTCCCGGCTTTTCTCCTATTCATGTGTCGATCGCCATCAATAAATAGCGGTTGTCGAGCCGGCGAATCACGCAATCGATTTCGCTGCGCCGAAAAACGCGTGTATCGGACGCTCTTAATTTTTGCCCCGTCAAATTTCGCTTGCATTTGTAATTGAAAACAGAAAAAAAAATTGAACGTATACGCGAGGAAAGGATAACTGACGTATCGATGTCACCTAATTCTGGACACTTCGAGTCAAATTCGACATTCAGATTCAAATCAAATATAGAATCACCAAAAAAAATTGTATTTTTATCTTAAGAATGTATCACTTATCTTTAAAATATCTTCCACTGAAATAGACGCCAAAAGGATTCTCTTAATTTAAGCAATTTTTTTTTTAAATTTTTTCAAAAAAATTGTATTTTTATCTTAAGAATGTATCACTTATCTTTAAAATATCTTCCACTAAAATAGACGCCAAAAGGATCCTCTTAATTTAAGAGGACAATTTTTTTTAAACTTATATTCTTATTAGATATTCTCATTAGATATTCTTAACATGCAAGAATATATACTCGATGAGATGTTTTTTTTATCAATATATTATTTGAAATTATTAATCGTGATAACAAAAATAATCTTACTAATGAACATTTATTATTTATTACATAATATTGACCTATTAAACATATAATTGAATATTTTCTACGTATTGACATAATTAAAAACACATTTTTATATTATATTATTATTTTTAATACTAGTTGATAAGCTTATAAGTTTAAATAATTTCAGTAATATTGTTTTATTAATTTATTTTTAATTTTATTTTCAATTTAATTAATTTATTACATTTTAATTGCGGAATTAAAGTTGCAAAAGAAGATTAAGAAATATATTCCAAAAGGCATCCTGGAAAGAAGAAAATATGCTTATATATTCCTTAAGAATATCTAAGAGGACTTATATAAAGTATGCAATTAAGAAAACAATTTTTTCGAACACACAATCAAAGGGTTCGTATATAAAACTCACGGCGAGGCGCAAAAATTTAAATTTCCATCGAGCGACCCGAGTAAGGGATCGGCGTTGAAAGGCCTGAACTCCGCCGTAATTCAACCCCTTACTCTCGTCTACTCGCAAGGCGTGTACACGCAGTCACGACACTCGATTCGCTACGGCGAGACGCGTTGTTTGTCGCGCATCAAAATTCCGGAACGAGGTTGGGTCGTGCAAGAAGTCCCGCGCATAATCAAAGTAATGGACGTATAAGCAGCGGCGTTAAATCACGCGGGCTCGACGTTGTTCGCGTGAAATACGAGTGGAAGGACCGATATCGCGTTTTTGCGCCGCGACGGTTCGAGTCGCGAATCCGCGGCTGAACCCGAAATGAATATGCAGTGTATTTGCG